TTAGTCAGCAGGTGAGCATGAAGCCTGGAGGTGACTGACAGCATCCAGCCTCCGTAACTCCTCACATAGACGTCCATCTCTGGCATCTCAGTGAAGTACAGCTGTGCAGGATGCATGGATGCAACATTAGCACACACATTGACACAGTAGATAGATACAGCAGAGAGTAGGCAAGGCTTGAATTTGGCTATTGAGAGCCTGAATTCTTGTGGGAAAAGGACATTGTAATTTGTAATTCAAGAGATAAAAGAAATCTTACTTAAAGGACCAGTGTGTAGGATTTAGTGGCATCTAGTGGTGGAGTTGCATATTGCAATCAATTCGCCTACTCCTCCCAAGTACGTAGGAGAAATACAATAGCCACAAAAACTTGCAAAAGATTGTCCTATCTAGATCTATTCCCCCCAGTAAAAGTTGTTTTGGGGAGTTTTGTCTATCTGAATTGAGGGTCTATAGACAGAGGGGTGTTGTATGCTGTACAGACTGAGGCAAATTGTGTTTTGTGACACTGGGATATATAAATAAAAATGACTTGACATTTTTGGACAATACAGGAACATGAATAGATTGATATAATATAAATAATTAAAAGAAAAAAAACAAAAGATAGAGAGTGCATATTTTGGTGGATGTGGCCTTCTATAAATGTGTAATAAACTGGTAGAAATCATTAAAACATAAAACTCCCAATAGACCTACTGCTAACATTGGAGGAGGTTATTAATTGATTAAATATTTGAATATTTACGACCCATTTCAGATTAACCAAACAGATCAAGAATGTACATTTACACAGACTTTAGATCATGAAATCATAAAAAACGATCGAGGACAGCAGCACTGAAACCATCATGAGACAGCACTTTCTATACTGCTGAGTGACTGAAAGCAGCACTAAATACTGTACATCAATCAATCAATCTCTACTGATCAAATTACACACAGATACCAGGAGGATAAAAGCAGTTGACCTCATGACTGGCAAGGGCAACAATCTCCAACATCCCTCCCCACCCGTCAGCCTCAGCTCACCTTGTCATTGGTGGGCGCGGGTGGCTTCTCCTGATAGGCTGCTGGCAGCGGGAAGTTGAGCGTGTAGACAGCCGGCTCCCACATCTTGGTCTCCTCTGGGATCTTGACCAGGACAGGGGCGGTCATCTCCATCTGGATACCTGCCAACGACACACAAACGCACACAGAGATAATAACGCACGCACAATGAACACACTCTTGAGTGCTGGTTTTCTGCTTTCTGTCCGGTCCTCACCTCCTTCATTGGCTCCAGTGATGTACTGGAAAAGCCTCCTGAAGGCCATGGCTGCACCCACACCCATGAAATAGGCTTCGGCATCTGTCGACACCCAGCGAGTGGGGCTGTAGTGTCGCACCTACACACACACACACAAACAAAGAGAAATGAGAAAACAAAACTGTAGCAGCTTGATGGGAAGGTATATGTGCTGTTTGACTTGGAGTTCACTCACCTCGTATTCATCTGTTTTGCAGACCAGCTCATATTCCAGACATTCCTTTGACTCTGTGCAAAAGCTGGTGTTGGTACTCGGTCTATGACAGAGTGATAATAGACTTAATCTTATGATATATCCACACTATATGGCCAAAACTATGTGGACAGTTTTTTACCATTATCTACTTTTGGTCTAAGGCTGTTTTTCATGGTTTGGGCTGCAGCATACGTCAGAGAATAGCATGCTTCCAACATTGTGGCAACAGTTTGGGGAAGACCCTTTCCTGTTTCAACATGACAATGCCCCTTGTGCACAAAGCCACTCCCATAAAGAAAGGTTTCTTCCAGTTTGGTGCCTGCCCCCAGACCTGAACCCCATCCAACACCTTTGGGATGAACAAGCACAATGTATTCACATAGCACTTACATAAGGGAGAAATGGGAAATGGAGCGATAGAAAAGACAATACATCACAAAGGGGGAATGACTTGTGTAACCCACAAAGTAAAAGCTATAAAACCGAAAATAAGAAGAAAACAGATCGGTTTTTAAGATGCTTTTTAAAAGTTAGCACTGACTTTGGTGGAGGCTGTTCCTGCAACAACAAAAGCACAATCCCCTTCAAGTTTTCAGCTTTGACCTTGAGGCAGCCAGAAGAGCCCACTCTGAAGACTCGAGGATCCACCCAATGATCAGGAGTAGAGAGGGGCATGGTAATGTAATATCTTGTTTATTGAAAGTAATATCTGGTTATTGTATTAGTGCTGGACCTCACTAATGCTCTGGTGGCTGAATGGAAAAAAGTCCTTACAGCCAGTTAAAAGCCTTCCTAGAAGACTGGAGCAGCAGATTAACGCCCTCTGAGGCAAACCCACTCTGCCAACATGTCACACTGAACTCCAGATTCCTCACAATGAATGTGTGAATGTGTAGCTCATGATGTCCACATACTTTTGACCATGCAGTTCATCTAACCGAAGCAACAGACTTACCCAACACTTCCTTTAGCAGAGACCACTAAGGCCAGCATGGCCAAGACTGAGATGAAAGCCCTGAGGAAGACAAATCATACATCTTTTAAAGTGCACAATAGCGCAGGGGGGCAATAATAGAACAACAGCAGGCTGATAATGAAAAAAATTATGAAAATCTTTTGAAATTCTAGCCTGAAGAAATGTTTTAAAATGGTAAAATTCCAGTTGTCAGATTTCAGATTTGACAAAGCGTTGACAGTGTGTGTGTGTGTGTGTGCGTGTGTGCGTGTCTGCCTGCTGCATTCCGCCGTTTGCACTGCAGAGATGAAATGGGACACGTTTCCCTCTCTCCTCCAGCGACGCAAAGAGGAGAGAGGGAGAGATCTGCTGCATCATCAGGCTCTGCATGTTCAAAATCAAAGGCGTTTTAAGGTCATGGAGGAACAGCGCCCAGTAGCTCATCACATCCCCTTCACGGTCAAATATCTTTCACTGTTTAACCAAAAACCTGATTTTAAACCCAAGAGCGATTTAGGAAAAATGAAGGTTATTTAAGGATGAAAACACAATCAGCCAGTACAGGCTCATGTCAGTCTGCTGCTGTATTTATGGGTTTACAAGTGTTACAGCAGCATGTGCAAATATTGAATAAAAAGGAAAGCTTTCTATGCACGAACAACCGAATGATCGCAACTTTACCTGTCCATGACGCTGCGGAAAAGTCGCTAAAATAGGCATCCGCTATGGTCCAACACTCCTGGAGAAACTGCGCACAACCTACCTGTGTGATATTTATTTAAACTACAATAATATACAAGAGCTGATACTCACATTGTCCCGGCCCCGTGTGTGTGTGTGTGTGTGTGTTCCTTTCCACCTGCCAGGGGAGCGCAGGGAGGAGGAGAAGGAGGATGAGGAGGTGGAGGAGTGTGATGGAGACTGCAGTCTGCTGCACTCTGACGGGCGCCGGTGGGTTTACTGCGGACTGCAGTGAGGACCAGCGTCCGCCTGAAGCTCGCAGGAGGGAGGGGCTGAGCTGGCACCAGGCTGCAAACTAGTGGACCAGCGCCGGACAGATGATATGTGCCTGTTAGTGCTGCAGCAGCGAGATTTAGGAAAGGCTGATCAAGAATCCGTCATCATTAATCCATCATGCTGCTCAGACGTGTGAGGGTGGAGATTATTACTGCTCCTCTGATATGGGTTGATTATGGTCTACAGTGTGTTTGCATTGTTCAGACAATATATCAAAACTGAGCTGTATTTTGAGTTATAATGGGAGATGCTCTACAAAAAAAAAACTGACAAAATACATGTTCTACTCTGTTTTTTTAAGGACTTTCAGGTTGGTATTACTATTTCAGGAAGCCAGTGGTTTCTTTGTACTTGCTATATATAGATATGCTCTGGAAATTAATTAGCCCAGACTCTGGAGTAAAGCAGAGACTAATTACTTTCCTTCATGTCTCCAGAAATTAATTGATTGAAGCTCCAAAGTGACACAGTCAAATGTCTGGTTTTGTCCAAAACTACTATTGAGTTAGGAGAGTGAAAAAGAAAATATTCACATTGAGAAACTGGATTTTGCCATTTTTGCTCAAAAACTTAATTAATCAAGTGTTGCTGATTCATTGAATAATTAAGTTAATTAAGTCTCTACTCAGGAAAGCTGCTTAATGAACATTTCGTATGAGTTCTTCCTGTTACTGATACTTTGGTTTAAAGCCCCTGAAAATTTGGTTTCAAATCTTAAGTATTTATTTATAATATTACATATGATACCAGGAGGATCAAAGTGTTATTAAATCAAAGTTTAACCCCCAAAACACATGGCATCACTTTTCTCCAACTTATCCCTGCTCACAGTGATTAAGACACAGTAAGAAGCTGACTAAGAAAATATGTTTTCAGGGTCCAGACTGCAGATTGATTTGCCCTGCCTCAGTCATAATGATGTTACCTTTACAAAACAAATCTTTATATTTGCTGGATTAATAGATTTTCATAACGTATGGAAATAAATGGCTGTCTGGAACAGTTTGCACAATACTTTAAAATACGTAAAATAAAGCTACATGGTACTGTTAATGTAATTTGTAGTTCATTATTTCAAAATAATTAGACATAGTCTCTCTTAAAGGGGTACTAAACAGATTTTCAACATCTAAATCTCATCATGGGGTTTGCCTGATGACAGATGCATAACAAAGGAGCTTCATCAAGTCTGAGAATATGATTGGTATTGTATTTTGATACGGCAATTTAAATGGAAAGCCTGTGTTACAAAGGCTGGGAAGTCAGGGTGTTGAGTTTGAAAGATTAGGACATTTACCAGGCAGGGAGGGTCAACTCAAAGATGAGGATGATGAGTTGCATGATGGGGTGGGCAGGATTCTGTTTTTGGACTTTGAGTCATACTAGAGACTAAAAGCCAGTATATATTGGCCTCCGTTTCATCGATTTTGAGCGCTCTTCTTTTATATGTTACCCTTTTTAAGGAACTGCAATATTAGTTTTCTGTAAACACAGCTTTAAAACAATCATATATGCACATAACGGATCTTTCCAGAACACCAGCTTTATTGTGACAATTCACACAAACATTAAGCACAAAACATGTTTTGCTGCTTTCTGCTTAACTGGTTTACAGACTGATTACTCCTGTCCTCTCAGGTACAAAGCACTGAGAGCCTGGAGATGTATGAACAGTCTGTAAACACTGTGTCGTCCCCACACAGGAGTTCCTGTGGTTCTCAGTAGTCTTTCCTTGATTCCTCACATTTACACTTCTCATCTATTAAAAGGAATCAAAAAATCTCATTGAAACTGAACCTGTGTCATTACTGTCTGAAACACTGTCTACAAAGCCTCTATGGAGTTCTTATGAAAGTGTTATGTGCCTCCTCAACAGTCTTCTTCTGTAAATTATTTACAAATGACCATCTACCCCCGCCTCGGCTGCACACATTTCTGATCTATCACCAGTAAGTCATCAATAATTAATAAAATAAGCTTCACATCAAGAGCAAGAAGGTAAAACCAAAAGCAGACAAATTCAAAAATGATCAGTTAGGTCACTTCTCCGCCCAGACTGGTACAGCATGGCCAAAAAAAACAAAAAAAAACAAAGAAACAAGGCCGTCATTGAACACAAGCTGGGCCACTGCTCTGGTTATCTCAGACACTGATCGAAACCCTCTTTATTCATCAAGAGGTCCAACGTGTCACCATCTGGGTTGAACTCACAGAGATGTGAAGTTGACCTCAACCACTAAAGCACTAAATTACAGCAGCGGTCCATGTGACGGACTGGGAAGAGCTCTTACCTCTCCAACATAAACTATAATACTGAAATATAACATTTCAATATGCAATTAGTAAATATATTGAAATATACAAATTCTCACATCCATATATTTCAATATACAAATCAAATATACAAGAAAAAAGTAAAAGTATACTGTACTGTATGGTGATGGAGCTGTACAATGACCGATGGGACATTACTGACCCCCTGAATAGTAAATGAGAATAATATTGTTGCCTAAATTTAAATATATACTGATTAGCCTTTTACCTGAGTACGGGCCATTCTCTCATAAGGGGAAGAAAAAAAAAACTGTTATGTCCAAATGTCGTGTTGTCTCACATTCACACACACGTGTACTCACATCACACACGAAAAGGTACAGATAAGAGGCAGAAGTACCGTTTTAAATAGCTGATATAAACACAACAGAAAGCAAGTCTCTCTAAAATGATAATTATCTTTGGAGAGAGAGAGAGAGAGAGAGAGAGAGAGAGAGAGAGAGAGAGAGAGAGAGAGAGAGAGAGAGAGAGAGAGAGAGAGAGAGATAAAATCTATAGAACATCAGACCTCCTTTCCATATCTCCACCCATCCATGTGGCAGGAGCCTGTTTCCTTCTCAAAGTTTCTGGGTGGAGGCGTTTTGAGGAAATGGAGAGGGTCCAAACAAAGTTAGTCTTTTTTTTTGCATAGCCAGACAGTGGGCTCGACCACTGCAACCACTTATAGAGTTTCAAATGGAAAGCTGTCATTGGGGGGTGGGAAGCCTTCGGTCCGTGTGCACCCCTTTGTACCAGCTGGCCCGGGGATGTTTAGTGGGCCCCCCCATTCCCCCGAAGATGCAGCTTCCGCCTCACAAGGTGGACTCTTTCTGGCGATCACGTCCGTTACATGTCTTCTTGACTTTGGAAATACCCTCCAGTGCTCCTGACTCAGTCACTCTGGACACAGAAAGAAACAGAGCAGCACTTTGTTTAGAGCCTTTAAAAAGCCTGCCTTATTCTCGGGCTGAGAACAGCGGAGCACACTTGCATCATACAGATACTCTTGTGACTTCCTCTTTACATTGACAGCGGTATCTCTGACATCTCAGTTACACGGAAAGCCGACTGTTGTGTATACATTCATGGTTACAGCATGACCAGGATATGCTCGTAGCTAATGCATGACTTTATATCACCTAGAGCATGATGGGAAAATCTCAAAACAAAAACAATAATGATCCATGTTTTGTTTTTATGAAGCCAATTCAAGACCTATTTATGTATGTATACTGTAGAAAATATATATATATATATATATACGAAAGGATATGAAGGAATATCTGTATTGGTTCCATGTTATAATTAGAAGTTGTTGTAACTTTATTAATGTCATACATTTTTAAGGCCTGTCAAAATCATATTTAAGACCAGAGAGGGTGTAGAGTTGAAAGGGTTAACTCAAAGGTGCGACAGTGTATACTTACACTTCATCCATCTCTACATCCTCCTCGTCCTGGGGAAGCTGGAGGTAGGGGTTATTGGACGCTGGTCTGAACTTGTAGCCCGTCAGCACAAAAAAGACCAGAGTGGACACCTCCACCAAAAACTGAAGAGACAGGAGCGAGTGTGTTTAATGACAGAAAATGGACGTGAACCAATAAAAAAGATGAATACTGCTCACAGTTGCCCTGTAGCATAACAGCATCTAGTTCATAGCTACCAACTGAATTCGTCAAAATAAACACATTTCTTCCGATCCAGCACGAAACCAAGCTTCATATTACTACATATACATCTTTGTCCCTGTGCTGTTTTTAAGGTTGAAAGCTTAAAGAAATGGTCTAATGATTTAATCAATGTAGGCTGAAACATCCTCCTTTCAATAATGCTAATACTAATACTAATATCCTATCAAGGAATAGTGTCTATTTGCTAAATAATGCAGGACTTTAAATATGTAATATCTTTGTTGAGTCAGAGTAAGGAACGGGATGACTTTGACCTTTTACAAACACGTAATAATAAAGTCAGATTGTTATTGTACTTTGTTCTTGTCTTACCTCATAGCACCACTGCCACTGAAAAGGCATAGTGACTTTGAGCAGAATGGCGATGATTCTCGTAAAGTAGATGTAGCATACGATCTAAAAAGAAGAAAACAGAATTTCAAAAATTACACAATGCTTGAACTAACACAGGTTTTGATCTAATCTACTATATTGCTTGGGGTTAGTAAAACCTGCTTTGCCACAAAGTGTAACGACAGATTATTGTACGAAAGGCCAAACAGTAACAGGATTGTTTGCAAAGCCTTTGTTCTAGCTCTGCAGCAGTGACTGTGCTGAATGAGAGGCTTGGCGTTGCCTTGCCAGACACTGTGACTCAGTATAATTTATAAGAATAATGCTTGATAATCAAAACATGCCTATTAAAAGATATTCTGCCAATACACAACAACATAATCAGCAGTAAATGCAATCTAAAGGGATTAAGCTATCAAGCTGTCATTATTATGGTTGTGGTTGGATTTTAATTTCACTGGCATCTAATAATGGACTTGGGGACGGATGAAGGATGGATGGACGAAGACATAAAAAATACTGCTGAGCTGAACTCCTTCTTACCATCACATAATAATGCCGAAAGAGCTTGAGCTTCTCCAAATTCATGGCAGCTGAAAAGACAAGAGACAATTTAATTTAAAAAAAAAATAATAATTTACAATCTCAGCAACTGAGAAAACATTTTGGTTGTAACTGATCCGGATTCTCACCTTTGCCATCGGTGCTTGAAGCCTCCTGTAGATGACGGATGGACCTACAAAGACAACTATGTTTGAGAACTACTGCGCACACAGACTGAGAATGTTATTCTCCATATAGGGTAAACTTGCAGGATTGGCCCACGTAACATTTATTAGGTTCATAATTTTATACCTGGAAACAATGAAAATAGGCGTTGTTTTTATTACTATTCATGACATGGGTCGGCTGAGAAGATGGGAACCTGCATCATGGCTCAACTTACTTCTGATTGGCTGGTGGTACTGCTCATCCAGGCCATCATCACGCCTGCCTTCTAGTATTACTTTTGGTCTCCTGGTAATCTTACCGCTGTCCTACTGCTACAGTAAGTTAAACTTTTTCCGACAAAATACAATGACAATAGGGCTCTTTGGATGCTGTATAGTACTAAAATCTGTGCTATTTGCCATAAAGATCCTTTTATCTCAACTCTCCTCTGTAGTAACAGCCTGCTGCCTGTACACTAGTCTCAAAACTAGTGTTAATTCAGATTTTCAATGGATTTTTTAAAATGGAAAATGTAACTGATACACAATAGACACAGCACGCACGCACGCACATGCACACGCACACACACACACACTGACCAGACAACGGGGAAAAGGATGGCTCCGCAGCAGATGAGGTCGACCAGAAAGAGGATCTCTTTCCACAGATAGTATTCACTGGAGCCTTCCTCTGTAGACTCGATAATGATGTAGGCGACATTAGCCAATACCTGGAGGATGACAGGTGAAAAAAAACTGATTGTAAATCACTGACGCGTCTTCTCTTCCTTCTACTGTCCAAAAATGAAGCCAAAATATTCTGTATATATGGCCGCTGCCATCTTGTGCTGGGGACATGATTTTGAGTGAGAGAGAGTATTTTGGGGAGCAGTCATGTTATCCATCTTGTGTACAGTCAATGGCGTAAATAATCACACACACAACTACTGTTTCTCGTGCACACACACCTGCAGAGGGATGACAATCATGAAGATCTTCTTTTCCTTGTCAGACAGAATGTATTTAACAAAAGCCCAGCCGGTGCCAATCAGTGCCAGTGTGATGAACAGGAGAGCCCCCTTGAGCCTGGAAAGCACATCAATACCAACTGTAAACATTAAAAAATACACAAACTAGAGTCTTGAGCAACTTTAAACTTCATATCTTGGAGAAATTGTACTTACAAGTGTGTTATATAATACATGACGGCCCAGCCTTCAATAGGATGCCCCTCAGTGTTGATGAAGTGATAGTTGATCTGTGAGACACCGACAGAGAGGTTGCATTAAAAACATAAAGAATCCAGGCGTAATATGAGAACAATAAGCAGTCAAACACAAACATGAGATATTACATGAGAGTCTGCTCTGTGGTGATGCTGTACTTACACTATGGAAAACCAGTGATGTGGACTTGGTGAAGGCCAGTGCTGCCATCAGCCAGTGGATCTTAAACACGCTGTACCTGTAAACAAGCACACAGGTCATTTCTGACACAATATAGTAATGTAGTAGAGTGCCAGGTTTAAATGATCTTTCAACCAAAAAAAAAAATTAAAGGCAACAATAATAATGTGTACCTGTGCTTCATGAGTGTGTACACCCAGACCATGGCAGCGGTGAAGAAGACTCCAGCCATACCAATGTAAAGACGAGACAGAGGAATTTCTGCTGCCGACAGGTAGCCATCTGGATTCTTCTCTGTCACTTCCACCTGCAGAGGAAACACTCATAGGTTAACACGTGCACAGACGTGAGCATGCATACTACATGCACAAACCCAACACAAACACCCTCAGCTTACAGTGAACGAGTAGGGTAGTTTGATTCCAGGCGATCTGTTCTGACAGTAGTGGAACTTGAGGCTGTACAGACCCTCTGCCACCAGGCCGACCACCATTTGGAACTGTGGAGGAGGGACCAACAAAAGAACGTCACGCAACACTTAAACAAAAAAACTATGTTTTACATGTAATGGTTAACAAAAGTGTACTTACACGGAAGTTGTAGGCGTCGTCAACTTTGTCCAAGGCTAAAGTCATTTGGTTGGTCTTCCCCAGCTACAAGCAAATACAGATTAGAACTTAAATTTCTGAATAGATCACACAAACAGACACTGAAACACCTCTTACCAGGAATGTTGTATTTTCTGGTTTATCCTCATCCTTGGGAGGCAAGTTAACTTTTGGTTTGTCTTCACTTTTGTCCACATTCTCTGATGGCTTACTATTCTCAGCTGGTTTAGCGGGATTATCAGGATTATCAGGAGCTTCCCTGGTTTTTTTCTGACCTAGAGGAAACAAATAAAAAGGTACAAGACATCCCAAGCTTAGCCATATTCCTTGGCTTTTACAAAATGGTTGAAGACTTGAGCTATTTTTAAATCCTCACAAGATGTTTCAAAGTACTGTCTGCCTAAATTGATTCCATCATTCATCCTGGTGCTTAAAGATGACTGCAGAGGGAATACAAACACAAAATGATTTTGCAAGAATTGTAAAGTGGGAGTGACACTGACCTTTTGGTGCTTCAGCCTTTTCCTTGGCGATCAAGATGTTGTCTTGTTTACCTATAACTTTCACATTGACACTACACAAACACACCACACACACGTTATACAGTGAACATTCACATTAGGTTGTCAGGGCACAGGAATACACACTTCTAAACAACGGTGCTGAAACATACATACCTGAGCGTGTTGATATCAATAAGAAAAAGAATCAGAGGCTCGTTGTTGTTGTTGGTCTGCTTTGTGAGAATGAGTGGGCATGTCTCTGTCTCCTCTGCCTGAAGACCAGAGAAAATAAAACAACAAGAGAAAACAAACAGTCAAATAATCAAATTTGAACACATTTTTTGGTCAGTATCTTATATTTGTTGCATTGATAGCATAGGACATAAGACCGTAGTTTGCCTTGAAAGCCTAATTGTGTGTGTGTGTGTGTGTAAATACAGAAATATTTATGAATGATTTACTCACTGTGTAGGACAAGACTCCGTTCACACGTGACCTGGAGAGCGTGAAACCAACCTAAAGAAAGTTAGAAATGTGGTCAGTCAGTGGGTCAAAAGCACATGACTTCAAGTGTAAATACAATATTTCACAATTCATGGCCCATTTTAAAATTTAGTGTCATCATTCAACCCTCCGTATAGTGTAACTCTGGCTCCATTTAACAGCTCCCAATGTTTTACATCAACTTCCAATGGCCAAGGTAAAATCAGCAGTCAAAACACTACAGGTGAAACGACTCATCCCACGAGCTACAATGCAAATTACTTTACTTGTTTGTGATTCTTCTGCTTGAAACACATCACTAAAATAAATGACCTGACGGGAAAGACCGCCCACAGTGGAAGTCATCTCAATTCTCCTACTTATAGACAGCTAAGATAAATGTTCATATAAGTTGTAATGGGTAAAGGGTAAGAATTAAAAATAAAGATGTCAATCCTAGAAGCTCTTTAATCTAAGTCTATAGTTCAGTATCACTACAATCTTACAGCATCAATATCTAGAGCTAAGACTTGTCATAAGTATTTCGTTTTTTATCAATTTGACTGATAAAGATTTATTAATTATTCTATATTAATTTATTCATATAAAATGTTCATTAATATTCTTAATTTTAAAAAATCAAATAACTTTTGTAACCAATGTTACATTGTTCTTCAACTCACTTCAAATAACACATTTTGGTGATTTTAGGGGATGGGTGATTTTTCAACAGGCCACAGCCTATACATATATATGTGTATATATATTTGTACACAGTTTGTGTGCTGCCCTAGCATCCCCCTACCCCTCCCAATCACTGCCACAGTAGTTGTAGCTGGGATATAAGCAGCAAGTTCACAACTCTAACAACATAAACTCACCAAATGTCAAGAAAGAAAATCAAAAAGATGTTTTTCTACATTAAACAGAAAAATACAACCGTACACCTTCTACATTCAAGTTTCTCTCTTACACCAAACTAAGACCTTTTAAACTCATCTTAAAACACACGTCATTCATACTCAACAGAAACAAAACAAATCTCACCAGACTCTGCTGTTTAACCATCAAACAGAGTTAGATGTGAAAATATTCTGGCTCTACGCACTGTCTCTGATCTGTATCTCTAATAAAACACTGAAAACCTGCACTGGCCTTCTTTTTAACCACACACGAAATTGGTCAGGATTCAATACGGGAATCAACAATGAATTGAACTGATAAGCAGAATCAATAATGGTATTTGGTATCAATAACATATTTTCAATTCTAATCCCTATTAGTAAGAAGGATATGCAGTTAATAGGTCCCCCCTCTCAATACAAACTGCTACACAAAAACACAAATAAAAAAAAACAACACTAACAATTCATCAGCCTCTCTCTCAATATTTCCTGACTTCCCTACCTTTCTGTGGCACTACGGCAACTATTTTGGGTCATTTTATACTTTCAAACATAAGAAAGTTGACAGGACTTACTGCACCAGGATGATGTAAGTAAGATTTACTCAATAGTGCCTGTGTTCCTGGTAATACAGGAACATGTCACCTGGAGCAATAGTATAATTTATTGGTGTGTTTTATTATATAACAATGAAGCTCTGTGGCATATAGAGTAATAAATTATACCAGGCTTTGGCTAGACAAGCAATACTTGCAGCTAGACTCAATTCATTGCTAGTTTGGGTCTTATCATAGGATTAATGGACAAATTAGATAATATTATCAGGCTTCTTGTTTAAGACTTCTATAAATGCATCTAGGCTTGCATTTCGTCTTTTTAATTTATCCAGTAACAACTATTTGGACGAACATGGTTCCACCTGTTGAAAACTTCAGTGCTATCCCACAGAGAAAAAAAACAAAACAAACAACTCTCACAACTACACATACGAGCACAGAAACCAGCACTTCTTACAGGATAGACGCTGTAGTTCACCAGCTGGTCGGGGAGGCGCAGAGAGAGCAGGTTGACATCTAGAGTCCCATTATGAAAGAAACCAAAGTTGTTGAGGTCCACGGAAGACCGAGTTTCGTTCTGGGAAGAAGAATAAATAAAAATATGTTAAGGCAAACTGTTCAGTCATTTAACACTTAAGTTACAGTTCAAATACTCTAGCACAGGTGTTCCCAACCTGGGGTTCGGGACCCCCACTATGGGTCGCCAGACCTTCTTGGTTTTAAGGGGTGTAAGAAAACGGACACACTTTAAATATACAGAGTAAGCATATATCTCTCTGCATTTTATTGTTAATATATGTAAAGAGAACTACTTTAAAAATGTGTATTTTCAAAGTTTAAATTATTATCTAAGATCTAAAATGTTGAAGACCTGAATGCAATCTACATTCACAGAGCCTTTACTCTCTGATAAAGCCTCCTCCTGCATTATAATGACACAATGGCCAAACATCAGGAAGAAAACAATGCATGGGTCAAAAAAAAAGGCCTAATCAACAATGTATAATTGTTAAATAATAAAAAATATATATACATAATACAAACTTTGTATAAAAAGTTCCTAAAAATATCAGGAAAACCAATAATCACAGAAAACAATCTGCACATCCAAATATCTTATTAAACACGAACTTCCTGCAGTTATTATGTTACTATATGGGTTAATTGTACAGTTTATCAGTTGTTTTCTAGTGTTATTGATAAGTATTGATTATAATATAACATATAATACATAACATATGTCACTTAGTGAGGGGTCCCTTAAAGAAGAGCAACCACGGCTGTAGCAGAGATGCAACTAAAACACTAACCAGCTACATATAAACATCATCAAGAGTTACGTTTTATGAATTTCCTTCAAACCAAATATTAAAACTGTGAAAAACAACACGACACCATGTTTCCACCACCGTCAGCCGAAGGCGGCGTGAAGCGCACAAGCTAACGTAACGCTAATAAAACACCGTGTGAGCGGTTCACACTTTCAAAAAAACACTCTTCTTACCTTTAAGGTGAGCTTGTGTATCCTCGCTTTGCACCCAGCCAGCAGCAGGAGGAGGATATATCCAGCCACGACACAACCTCGATGTGCCACAGCCATCACCGGGCAGGAACCGAGCTGCTAACGGGAACCGCTAATGTTAGCCAGAGCCAGATGGCTTAATATACAGCGAGCTAACGCTAACCCGCAGTCTTACCGGGATACGGTGGGAGTTACGGTGATGTTAGCCCTTCGATTCAGTACGTCGGCTCTGTAATTGCGTCGTTTATTATCAAGTTGTTTTAAAATATATATATATAAAAAAAGAGACGTTATGTTTTCCGGTTCTTTTGTGCTTTCATCGCGTAAGGTAACAGCTAGCCTGTAGGTGGCAAACTCTCGCTTCCTGGTGTTGACTCCGACAACAAGGTGCGGACGGACGCGTCAGCCGCGGACGGGATTCAGAAGGCGATGCCGTGCGGCGGAAATCTACTAAAGCAGAAGAAATGTGAGATATAATCTCTCTATGCGTTCACAACGCGTAGTGGTGTCTTATTTGTCTTTCAAACAAATGAGTTTTCACTGCCACAGTTTTGACTACACGGTTGACTACACCTTGGAATATTTGCTTAGATTTTGGTCACGTGGCTCAGCTTTCGGACAGTGAGCTTCCGGTTGTTCACGTGAGGGACCCTCCACGTCGGACGTAAACTCCGGGTTGCCATGTAAGCACAGATATGATGTTTAACACGTGGAGCTAAAGTTATATACTATTTAAATTATGTTTTATTTTTCATGGAAGAAAGATACTGACAAAAGCAATGTATATTTTTTAATTTTTTTAATTTTTTTTTGATAAATGATAAAAGTGAGATTTTTTTTTTGATAAATGATAAAAGTGAGATTTTTTTTTTTTGGATAAATGATAAAAGTGAGATTTGGTGCACTACATGGCCCAAAATATAGAGACCAGCTAAATGAATCAATAACCAAACAAAAACAAAACCTCAAAACAATAAAATACATCCAGATCCAGAGAGCCAGACAAATGTTTATATGATTCAAATGAACATTAACTGATTGTCTGGAAAGTAAAAAATATAGCATTATTACATATAACAGTAGCCCTACCACCAAACATTTTAACAAGCAGTTGCTACCAGACACAGAGTTACGTTAGCACAGGTTCTTCACATAAAGTAATTTTAAGTCCATCTGCTTTCATTTAGCTCAGTTTTGGTCTCCACCATCTGCTGATGGAAATGTATGGCTCTTTAGCTGTTAAATGTCGATCAGCTGGCCGCTAAGTGTGTCTACTAGGCAGGTGTTAAAAAACAGCTGACTGATGGGGGCGAACTCAACACTGATGAGAGCGGTGAGAGTGAAACAAAACAGTGAAAATAAAACCAAAACAATGAGCTGAAAGAGGCCAAAACAGTCAATATATTTTTAAAAACTCAAAACTTAAAATACCCCTTTTCATAGCAGATGTTTTACCTGTTAACATCATTAATTGCTTCATTCCACAAGTCCTGCATGTGCATGAGTGTGCATTTCAGCCTGTGTGTGTATAAAATAAAATAAAAGAGTGAAAAGAAGAATTTCTCCAATAGGGGATTAAGAAATTATAAATCTAAATCTAATCTAATGTAAATAATTGCACACCAAACATTTCTCGAACTGAGCCATCCCGAATGTTTCACTTGTGCTTTCAATAAAAAGGTGATTAGTTTAGGTACAAATAAGAAAGGGATGCAAGAAAACCTAGATTCAGATTAGCAAGATTTATTCAGAAACAACGTTACTTCAGAAAATATAAAAATATGAGGAAGCAACAGTGTGGTTCATTGTGATGTTTTTTTTTCACTTTTGTAATAAAACAATTGACATGCTAAAACATAATGTAACAAGTAGAAAGGAGCCATACAGTCAGTGCACTCCTGTGGTCTGTTACACAACAATATCTGGTTGCAGAAATCAAGCTAGGCAAGGCTATGTTAAATTTGAAGGAAGAAATAAAACAATATTTCTCTTACGATTGTCTTTGACTTCATAAGCAATAAAACACCCACATCGTGTTTATTTAATAACCTCAGGGGTTTTGTTGCCTTATTTGGTCTGGTCTAGCTTGATTTCTGCAACCAGATATTGCACACACTTTAATGAGGTGTTACTGTGATTACTGTGTGTTTATGTTCATATTAATTGACACACCATTGGTGCCTGCGATGTTGGGTGCCACGATAACACTTTTACCCTGGGCACAAACATTGGCACCAGCAGCAGGAGTCAGACCCAAGGAAGAGGAGGAAGGTGTGGGGGTGGGGTTGTGTGCAGCTGTTGAACCCCCTAGTGATGAAAGACAGACACAAACTGAATAAATTCCCTTTGAAAACGTATGTAGAATTAAGGTAAAGAGGTAGAAACATATGATCTAGCCTACCTGAGTATGTTCTCTTTAACTTCTCCGCGGCGTTGTTGTGGTTCATTCTCTTCAGGATTTCAACAGTAACGTTCACAGCCGACTCTTCGCCGTAGCTGTCTATCATCTTGCTGACAGTGTCCTGCCGGTCGGCGTTCTCTAGATGGCCTTTACGAATGGGCTGACACCCAGCCAGCACTTCCTGAGTGAGGTTCCACCGAAACCTCTTGAACTCATCAGCTCCCAGTTCATCCAGAGTGTCTAAGATCAGAAGTGAAACCTGCATTTTTGCTCACTGCAAAAGGGGAAATAGGATTTCAGTTTGCACATTAAACCACTTTTTGCAATTTTTTATGTTCAGTTGAAAGTGAACTCCAATTCAGCATGAAAGTCATAAGTCAAAGTTTAAATTTATTCTTTTGGCAATCACCTTTAGAAGACATTATTTTACAAGTGTCATCTATCAATACATAGATTAAATGCTCTTATTAATATAACTTCTCATAATATCTGTACAAGGTCTGCATGCTCGTGCTTTCTCTTCCCCCATGTTTCCTGTCTGTATCTTTACTCATAACCACGAGGGCAAAAATAACAAAAATGATTAAGTTGTTGTTACATATAAGCAACATATGCACATGACTGTAGAACAGTTCCTTTTCTGCTTGGTAGGTTAGATATTTATTACCAAACATTTGTCTTTTTAAAATGTTTACCTCCAATTTTAATAACACACACAAAAAAAAACTAACTTGAATATCAGGTTAAAAGAAAAAGACACGAACAACAACAAGCAAACGCTGATGATGAATATTGGAAAATAATGATATAAATAAAATAATTATTATATAGTCATTATATTGTTTTGCATTGTATGATGTTTAAGCGTCATTGTGAGATCTTTGACTTGATTTATTGTAAGACCTGGACTATAAATCAGATTTGTTTTCTATAATATCTCAGTGAATGTCTTACCGTAGTGGCTCCAGTGATTAGACAGCTGTCCTGACAGAAGTGAATCTACTGAAAGTACAGCAACATTGTGGGGTGATATAGACTACTTTTAGTTTCTAACTTAAGACTGTTTGACAACTGCAAACCACAAGCACACACAAGTTCAAGTTCACGTTTCACAGAACAAGACTGATTTCTTATTAAATATCACGTCTCAAAGCGAGACAAAGCACGTCTGCTGGCCACAACGAGACATTTCCCACAAGAAAATGACATTTTCATGTCTCTCTTTGTGCTTTAAATCAGGCTTCTTCCTGTTGACCAGTTGTTGTTTTCAAAGTTATATATCCTGTTTGACTGATGCTTATTGCTTATAGAGCCAAATATTTTGAGTAATTATTTTTCTTACGTAAAGTTACATTTTTAGATATATAGTTTTTAAAAAATGTACAAATTAGCAGGCAAAACTGGTACAAAGACTACTCTGTCTATTTCTTTTTCTGTCTTTTCTATAAAGAAACTCACAAGAGAAATAAAGAAATCGAAAAGAATAGATTGTCTGCAGAAATTCTTAAAAGGTAAAATAGAAATGAATAACTTCAAGCTTCAAGAGTCCTTGTCTCTCTGGGTTAGTAGGCATAACAGCAATATGGAATGAGATAACAATGGCTGCACCAAAGCTTAGAGAGGACAGCCATCAAAAGGTCATTTAGCCAAAATATCAGATGTGAGTCACAATAACTGAACTGATAAAATTGTTGATGAGCCTCTGAAACCATTTCAGCAATCCCTGCAAAAATTATACAATCACGCTTTAATTACGTCATAAAAATGGGAAGGAAACTACATCCAGCTTCACTTTCACTTCTCTACCGGTTGGATTCATTTGAAACTGTTTTTAAAGAAGCATATGATGTCTGATATAAGTTCACTCCCAAAAAACCAAACAGACACATAAAATTAACTATAAATAATGATCTCGCAGTTGTTTCCACACTGAAACTTTCTCATATCTGCCTCTGTGAAATGAGAACTGGAGGTTTGATACAGCAGCACAGAGACCTTATGAGGTCACGTCCGTGTGGCCTCAGCGCCACCTGCTGACAATATTTGGGTACTGTTTGGAGGATCAACACTTAAAAATGTGTCTCAGTCACACAGTTAGCTCTGGTGTAAATGTTTGTGGCTGAATTCCATTTTGCTGCTTCAGTTTCATTGTGCTGATACTGTTCTTGCTGGCTCACTGCCACAGTGGACACTTGGATAATGCTTTAGATATTCATTGTATCACAACACATTTGACAGCATTTATGGTCTACATTAGCGATAGTAATGCAGTGTATCTCTGTAACTGTCTCTCTACTGTGTATGAAAGCGTTACTGGCAGAGTCAGTACAGGATCAAACTTGTACAGATTATAACTTTGCACATTTTTTTATTGTGAGCACTCTTGATAAACTCCTGTGAAGTACACAAATATTTAACCACTATATACAGTAATGTAAAAAGAAAGTACAGACTACACTGCTTGTTTTCATTGTTTATTTAGAATGTATAGAAAGTATTTTCAAGCACATTTGAAATCAATTTTTTTCATTTTGTACTGTTTAAAAGCACCATTGCATGGAAAATGATCAATGATAAACGTTCAAGCATGTATAAACCTGATATAAACTTTGAATTAATGGTTTATGACACACTATGATATAGTTGTAAACAGATGTAAGTGCTTTAACTCCTATGACAAGGACAAAAAATATGTCTTCATATAACAAAAACTGAACATTAATAAACACAGCCCAGTTTATTTATGGATGTTTATATTCACTGCTTTACAGGTGCTACCGGTGATTGATGGCGCAATGATCATGCCTCCCTGCTGAGCTACCATCGCACCAGGAGGAGCAGTAGGCACCGCAGCAGAGGAGGAGGTGGAGGAGGGTCTAGCTGCTGCCCCCCCTGCTGCTCCTGCCCCTGCTGATGAAAAGATACAGATGCAGAGGATAAAGACATTATATATACTCTATACTATATAATGGTATAGACACACTAATATCACTGTTACTTTTAGTTACTTTGACACCCTCTGCCCTGCACCTGTGTATCTTCTCTCTAACTCATCCGCAGCGTTGTTGTGATTCATCTTCCTCAGAATCACAACAGTGATGTCCACAGCTGAATTTTCGCCGTAGCTCTCTATCATCCTGCTCACAGTTTCTGTCCGGGGAATCTGTTCCAGACGGGACTTGGGAATCGGTTTGCAGTTGTCCAAGATCTCCATTGAGAGGTACCACTTAAACATGTTGAAGTCATCCTTGCCCAGCTCCTCCAGAGTCTCGAGGAGAAGCTCTGGAACCGACATATCTTCTCACTGAGCAGGTGGAAGAGGGTTATTATTATTATTATTATTATTATTATTATTAATATAACCAGATTATGGCCTTCAATAGTAAAAGAACAATTCAACAATACTCTTATTTGCTTTGTTGCCAAAAATTGGATGAGAAGATCGATTCCACTACTATTTTCCATTTTATAGGAGATTTACATGAAGGACTACAACTAATAAAATCAAATAAAATGAATCATTTCATGAAGCCCATGCAGATCAGTTCTAAGCATTAACTAGAACAACTTTTGGGTTGCCAGGATGTGAAAAGTTCTTTCAGCTAACTTTTTAATTCACCGGGAAGACCTGTCAGAAGGACGATTCAATAGGAAAATGGAAAAGTTTCTCACTCTCTAATGAGCCAACCCATCTACAGTTACAAACCTTAGTAAATCATTCATAAAGGGTCACAAGTATTTATGTTGTCATGTTTGCAGTAACAACAAATCATCATGGGGGGTGCTGAGGGGGCCGCGGCTCCCTCTAAAAACAGATACTAGTATTTATGGAAGTATTGTTTTTCAGACATAATTTATCGTGAATAGTGTTATACTGCAACCTCATCACTAATCCCAATTAAGGCAAGGCAGGTGGGATCTATCCCAGGCCAACACTGAGGTATTTTAGGGAGTCTGGAGTCGGGGCATGTGGTCAGACAGACAGAGAGTTCAATCCAGCCAGCTACAGCTAGAGTACACAAGGTAAAGCAATTGATGCCACTGTACGGTGACAAATATTGGCCATTACAATGTGTGATTTGGTTGCAGCTCTAGATTATGAAATATATCTGGTAACTAGAGGCTTCTCTACTTTTTTGAGGTATTAATTTCAGTATTAAATTGTCTCATTGTATTTAGTATGACATTAAATAGAACAAGTTTCTCTTAGCATTCCCATCTCTGACTGACTCCCAGCATAAATAAGTCATAAATATATAAATATATAAATACATATATTGCACTTTTACAAAAACCCACAAGCAGAACATAAACTCAGTAGGATATGATTACCAAAGACGGGCTTTATTGAGTACCAGCTGATGAAACAGTGATGTGAAGCTCCTGCTGCAGTGGTGAGAGGATAATGGCTGAGATCCAGGCAGAGTGAAACTGAAGATGGAGGCAGCGTGGCTGATAGGAAGGAGTGGGCAGGTAGCTGAAGAGAAGGTGATGACCCTGAGGCATGGGGAAAAAAACAAGGTTAAGTTTGTCTGCACAAACAGGGAAAAAAGTATCTTAAAGTGGATGGAGAACCGGGGTTTATATACTGCAGGGCTGATGGCTGGCAGATATTTGAGCAGTCAGACAGATGAGCAGGTAATCAGGGATAGTGGGAGGAGTACACACACACACACAGACAGGGACACCAGGGAAGAGAAAACTCTAGAAACCACTGACCATAACACCCACAAGAGTTTTAAAAAGTCACAATCTGACCAGCAGGGTTCCAGATATCCTTACTTTTAGTCTCTAGTATGGATCAAGCTACAAAAATAGTAACACATCTACAGCTGAAGCATTATTTCTGGAAATATTGATCATAATAGTCAAAATAACTAATAGCAATGCACACTGATAATGCACATACACATGGCTTTAACTGAATCAGCATAGCATATCCTCTACAGCCAAAGTTAACCCCATCAATATAGAGGCCCTTATATTTTTTATATGGCCGCTCTGAGCGGGGGAGGAAGCTACTCTGTTATCTACTTTAAATGTGTTTGCCAGAAAATAACAAACCACATGGGACTGAAAACGTCACTCTTCTGGCGGTGCAGTTAATACATTAGTAGGATGAACTATTTAAACGGACTAAATACATCTGAAAACGACTCCACAGCAGGAAGAACGACCCAGTACCCACTGCACTGTGCCAGCAAGCTTCCGCTTTTTCTTTTTTTTACTGTCAATTAACCCCAGTAAATCTATGTGAAGTGCGGAACCAGCGCAGCAGCAGAGGGACAAATAGCACAATCCAAAAGCACAGGAGCACTATAATCCATAAAGCACTTACCGTGTCGCCCCCCCCAGCAAATAAACACACCGTCCGACAATGCGCAGAAAATGGCGCAAACGATTACTTTCGGTTATAACCAGTGCAACAGGAAGTAGAGGCAGCAGCAGAGGTAACTTTAGTACTGAAGTTCAACTGGTGAGACCGTTTCACCCCAAATAAATGAACAATAAATACATGTTTAAACTCTATTCTCGCTGATAGGCCTGTAGCTATTCTGCCCCCAGTATAAAATCTGTTGTAGCAGTCGTAGAGACATTTATTATTTCTCATTTCTCAGATATAAGAACATAACCAGCATACTATGTGTCATAATGTACCACCAGTATTGTCGCCCTCACTTCATATTAGATTTCCAAACAAATTATGCATGACAAATGCTTCAGTTAAAATCTTTAATAGATATAAGACAAAGAAATACAGAAAGAAGATATTAAAACACATACATATATTTGAAAAAAATATAATAAAGACTTGGAGAACAATTGAATATCTAATGCCACCTTTATTTCTATTCAATGCTTTACTAATGTGCCACAATAATGTAATGTTATTGAGTTCAAATAACTTCATTTAGGTAATTTTCCAAGCAGAAAAAAATTATATATGGTGACGTTTCAATGGCTCATTAATATCTCTCTAGATTCGCCCCCGTTTCCATCCTAATACAAAGGAGATTAAATTGAATTTACTTCATGGCTCTCATCTAATCGGAAAAAAAAATAAAAATAGATCTCAAAATAATAAGCAGTAAATAAAACCAAAACTATCTGCATGGCTTGTTACTACTATAAAACAAACAAAACTGTTTTCTTGACAGAAAATAGCTAATTAGTTTTTACCAGAGCTTTTCAGCCACATTTTCACTGTTGTCTTCAGTGGATGGAGTTTGCTCAGTTGTCTTCAAAATAAACTGGACTCTCAGGAAAAATGTTGTAATTTGAGGAAACTGACCCTTAAATAGAAATGGTGGCCACATAACAACAATAATAATCATGAGCTTTCTTTAGAAAACACATTCCCAACAAAGAGTGCTTTGGCGTGCCTGGGAAACACTAAATTAAAATCAGTCCTTCAATACCACAATTTAAAAACACTCATTTAAAATGCTACTTAAAGGACCACACTGGTGCATTTAGTAGCATCTAGCGGTGTAGTTGCTGATTGCGTTGGCAGAAATGGAATATAACACCCATAAGTATGTTTTCATGAGTTTATAATAAACTGAAAAACAGAAAAATTGTCTTTTCATTAGCTTAGGATGAGCCGTTTTTATCTACAGAGAGAGCGGATCCCCTTCAGTGTCCGCCATGTTGCACCACTACCCCCCAGAATAATTAGTTTGGTGTTGCCCGATACTGTTCAGGGATTATTGTAATATTAACACATGAAAGCTTCCAGACTACCAACCAAACTGTCTGTTTTAGGCCTAGAAGTCCAAGAATAAATATAGAAATACATCTTCATATTAATTTGATAACTGGCCACTGAGTAAAGCTTTTAGCAGTGGTTTCCAACTGGGGTCAGGACCACCACTAGGGGTCGCCAAAGCTTCACGTGGGGGTCGCAAAGCCTTCTTGATTTCAAGGTTTGCTAAAAAACTTATATACACAGTAGGCCTATATTTCAGCATTTGGTTCACTTCTGTGAAGAAATGTGAAGTAAATTGTCTCATAGAACAATGGACAAGAAAATACTGAATTTGTAAAAAATGGAAAAATATGGAGATATGTGGTTTTAACAGCAACAGCAGAGCAACAATACATCATTTCTTTTAGGAAAACAGTGGAACTTGAACTGAGAAAACAAAACAAAAGATTGGAATTTGAAAAGAGCTGCTACATTGATTATAACATCATCTTTCACTCTTTTGTTTACAGCTACTGTGTGTAACTGCTCACCCACACTCACACACACAATGCACACTCATTTTTACCCTCTGGGCTGCAGCACTACTTTGCATTATTCTTGACCCTCCCTTCCTTCCTCTCTTGATATACCAACAGAGAACGCCCATGGTGGGTTTCAGAGGCCAAAGCAAAGGAATCGCCTGATCATCAGCTTCAGACACACACACACACACACACACACACACAAAAAGAACATACATACACACCCACGTTCCCATAAAAACCTGAAGTACCCTGTGTTTTTCTCAGAAGTCTCAGGCCGTGTCCCTGCCAGCATCACACAGCCAGTAACTGGTGTTTGGGAGAGACGTCATATCGGCAGTCAATATTCTGAGGCAGGGAAAGTGAAGAAGGATGTGTGCATCTGCGTGGCCAATCACACTTCTGCTGTTGTTCGGCTTAGGTGAGTGAAATGACAGCTAAATGAATGAGACAAAGCGTCGTAACAAACCTGCTCAGTGTGGAAACAGCGAGAGCAGATAGAGCAGATGATACAAGCTGGAAATTTAAATGAGTAAACTTTCTCTTGGCTTATGAATGTTACAGTCATTTCTGCTGGGATGTACTTGCGATACCATGTCACAGGTTTTGAATGTCAGAGAGGTGTGAGGAGATCAAGCAAATAGTCATTTTTAGGGGAATAAAAAGGTAACTAAAGGTAAGGTTACAAGGTAAAAACAAAAAGCACAGATTAAAGCAGGGATCTAGGAGTTATATGTTAAATTGAGTTTGTAAAGCTCCTTGAGGGAAATTAGTGACTTGGGTTTCTGGGCATTGTAAATAAAAATGACTGAAATCTGAAAAACTGTGGGGCTGTAACATGTTTTTTCTTCTTTTTCACCAAATCATCTTGTGATTTCTGAGATTTATTTCAGAAACCCTGTGAGGTGGAGGTATTGCCCCCCCTCATTAGGAACCACAGGTAGAAAAAAAAGAGAACTGCATCTCTATGAGGGCATTAAATCAGCAGTACATGGACACAGTGTGTGTCGTACCTGATGAATGACAATACTAGCAGTGGTGCAACTGACACTTCATACTTCAAATCCAATGTTTTTCAGATTGTGCAGATTGTAGAGTTTACTCAATTTTTCTGACATTCAAGAAAAAATAGATATCATCCAATCATGACAGATTCATTTAGATTTTTGACTCTGATTAAGCTCAGGCATTACCTGGCAGTTGCCTTATTTCACTCATTTTGCATACTGATACGTGGGAAACATAACTATACATTTTGAAAGCCAGAATGCTGACACACCAGTGAGCCACTGTGAGTGAGATCGTCTGATAGGCAGCAGAACAACCTCTGGAGTCATTGGAACAATGGTCATAGAAAAGAGGAGCGAGGTCTTTGACTTGGGCAGGGTGTCCTTCCTTCCTCAAAGGAACACACTGGGTGTATTCAGTGTGCGATGAAACAATGGTTCACAATAGATCAGCTAAAAAGAGTATTATTTCACGAGATGGCAAAATTCAATTGACCCTTTCCCTTGTTATGTAAAGACTCACATGTTCATACAGCTTACAGCACACATAAAGATAAACAAACGAAGAGATACATAATTTATATTCTGTACTACTCACTGCAGATACTGCTACTACATATTCCTATGTGCATTTGGCTCAGCTCTAATAGGGCAAAAATCCTTAAATCTTGTATTTTAGGTTCTAGTGTGTATAGTGTTTATTTATATATAAGATTTAAGAGAATAAGATTATCATTATGAAATGTTGATGAATTCTTTGAGAAAAATAACCCTTATCTGTTGTGACTGTGTATTGCTGTAGTTAAACTTTAATTCACAATGATTTGGAGAGTCTTTAATATCTATTAACTTAAATGTTTACATAATTAAGTGTCTTATTGTGTCTTTCTTCCTCTACCACTCCCTGATCTCTCCTGTGACTTCAGCTACCTCATCTCCAGTTTCCACACCTGCTCCACCTCTTCCAGTGCAAATTTTACCTCCCTCTCCCTCTCCAACAATTCTCCCGTCTCCACCTTCTCCTCCTCTCAGTGTCCTAGCCCACTTTTCTGGAGAGTCAGAAAAAGAAGCCAGCTGCCGTCTGATGATATCACCCTCCACTCTGGTGGTCAGGTATGTCAGGAATAGCTGGGGATTATTTTAGGGTAGTACGGTAGCTCAAAGATCCAAATAACATTTTCTCATAAATCTTTCTTCCCCATTTAAAGGAAAAGATAAACTTATTTTTCTCTAAGTGGAGGAAATTTACACTGTAGAGAAAATGAGGTGTAGTGTATGGACTAAAAGAAATGGCACATATTGTAAATTTTTCCTTTTTTGTATGTTTCTGTGTAAATTAGTGATAACTAATTGTGTAAACTCTCCTGTCACAGGTTTGGAGATCCATTCACAGCTAACTGCTCTGCACAAAGCATTAATTATGGTGGTCTCGGTTGGGAAATCTCCCTGGTAGGAAATCAATCATCTCTATATGACTTGAAAGCCCTATTAGCTTAAAAAGTAACTTAACAACCAGTGATCTTATTCACCCATAAATCTCTTTACTTGGGGCAGAAACTCACTCCCAAGCTATAGAGCAGAGATATTATCCTAAAGTCACCATGACTGTACTCTCCACTTCAGCACCGCCTTGACATTCTGTCCATTAAAGTGCCATTGTCGCCTTAATGAGTAACAGTTTCCCAACCCTAGTGAAGCCCAACCCCACAGAGAATGTGCTGGACTTCTTGCCCAGAACACAGACCCAGCTCTCATCACAAGGACAAGATGGCAATTAATAATGGCCCCAACACCCCTTACTTCTGTGGCAGCCCCCATGAGATATCCAGGAGGAAATGGCTGTAAACTGGATGGGCAAACTACTATGACCCTTCCAGTATTCCTGCAAGAGTAAAAAGGCTGGTCCACTATTCCACAACCAGAATAATATCTGCATTATTAGTTCTGTATCCGTGGCTCGACAGTTGGCCCAGAGCCTCATCTCCAGCATGCTGGCACAGGCTTACCCCTGGAGGGTGAGCAGTGTGACAGTCCAATCATTTCAGAGCACCACCAACCCCACCAGTCCACAATTACTGTCCCTGATTCCCTGAGCTCCACACAGCATTGAAGATTGAACACAGCCCAGCAATATCCAGAGCCTTCAGCACCTCAGGGTGAATCTCATTCAGCCCTACATGAGACGACCTAACTAACCTCTACCAGGGAAATGGTTAAGGTTTCCAAGTCATTCAACTCACCTTCTACCATCCACCTTCACAGAGAGGATATTGGTCAGGTTCAGTTACTCAGTATCCCCAGTCAAGGTCAGCTATTCTCCAGCCCTTCTGTAAACAGACTGGTGAAGACCTCGCTTTCCCTTCCTTGATTGCCTAACGGTTTTCCAGAGCCAACTGGAAGTCCTTTTCCATGGCTTTCCCAAAATCTTCATCTATTTGCTTTCATGATCACAGAAGCTGCAGTCCTTCTGGCCTCATGACACCTCTCTGCTGCTTCAGGAGTCCCTTGGGCTGACTAGGTCCAAAATGATTCCCTCTTCAGCTGGAAGGCCTACTTCACCCTGGTGCCCACCAGCAGGTTGTTTGATTGCTGCTGATTGGAGGGTCTGATGATCTTCAGGCCACAAGTTGATGCCACTTCCAAATGGAAGCTTCAAATAAGGCACTTGGATTCCATGTTCCCAGACTCCTCCAGGATACAGAAAAAAAAACCCCTCTGGAGATGGGAGTTGTGGACAGGGGCCTCAGTCTGACATTCCTAGTTCACCTTCACTACATATTTGAGTTTACGTGGCCTTTGTGGGAGCCTCCCAAGCCAATTCCAACATCCAGTTCACCACCACATGGTCATCAGTTTACGGCTCCTTTCCCCTCTTCACCAAAATCTCTAAGACCTATGGTCACAGATAAAATAATACAGCAACAAAGCTGATCATACACCTTTAATCTATGGTCTTCTTGTGCTAGGTACACTTGTCTGTTGTTGACCATTAATTACATTCATTTCAAGCTGATATCAGGTCATTTCTCCCAATTATGACATTTTTTCCCAAGCCCAAGGTGGTGCGCTCTCCAGGACCACACCCAGATACTCTGAACACTCACTCAGATATAAAACGATGCTGACAGAACTGAACATTATAGGCTTTACTAAGCTTAAAGTAGTTTATGCTTTATTGTAGGGCTACTCTATTGGATTACATTGAGCTAATAAAATAATACCAGCCAGACAGTAACATTCAATTATAGTCACCATTCAAACTGAATCTTAATTGCTCTGATTTGTGACCTTATGCAACTCTAGGAGACTTCTGGACTCAGTCAGGATAATTTTGTCATCTTGACTGTGGACAACATGACTAAGTGGAGCATCACGGCTACATGCTATGCACTAACTAATGAGGGAGGGTCGTGCGACATTAAGCTTCCTCTAATAGTCTACAGTGAGTTAATATTTGTGTGTTTGTCTGTTAGAAAATGCATCAAGTGCATCAAGCCTTTTCTATGTGGTTTATCTGTTGATCTGTCTCCACAGAGCCTCCAGATAATGTGTCCATCAGCTTGATTAATCACACTGGACCGATGTATGAGGGCCGTCAGTACACTCTGCAGTGTACGGTACAGGGCGTTGCTCCTGTTGGAAACCTCATTGTGACCTTCTACAGAGGACAGACAATATTGGGTCAACTACAGTCCAACAACACTACGGAGAAGGAACCAGTGACAGAGATCTTCACTTTAAACATCACCCCCAGTAAAGAAGATAATGGAATCCAGTACTGGTGTGAAGCCAAGCTAGAACTGGGACCAGAAGGACCACAGCCCCCTCCAGTGTTGATGTCACAAAAACTCATTACTGTGGTCCTCTGTGAGTCAAACTGCTGATATTTGTTGTTACATTATCATTGTTACCTATAAGAATGTTTATTTTCCACCTCCGGCCTTTGTTCCTTTCCCGGACAGTCGGTGACAGAAGGGGTTGCCCTAATTCTTTCCCTTAGGGGACCAAAACAGAAACTTAATGGTAGGCCACTGGCCAAAAGCAGAAACAAAATAAAAATAATTAGTGATCCTACATATTTAAAGAGCATTTTTACCTCAAAACAACACAAACAGCAATTATGTATAATATGGCGGGCAAACTTTGGCTTCGGGCCCTACTCTGGGCAACCCTGCAGTATACTATAGTACTGAGTATTTATAGTATATAGGTTAGAGAATATTTTAGATCCAAGATGACACTGACAGAATGCAGGACTGAGAGAAAAAGATACTATTACAAATATACTACTTCAGCGCCTCAGACAGTGTCATGGATTAATCAATACACAGCACAGTTGGGCTACTCATATTTCATAGTTGGGGCCATAGCTTCGAACATGCACAAACATTAGTCAGAAAAAGGATCAATGAGTCAGGCAGAATATACCTAGTCAACTAAACAACCCATCTGACCCTGAACTCTTTCTCCTACTTTCTCCACTTTCTCTCACCCAATTCTTTAAGTAAAATATATCAACCTTTCTTTTTTTATCAACTGTCTTTTTCTCCTCTCCCTCACTCTGACTTATCTTTCCTCTCAGTTGGTCCACACCTCGTTTGTCCTACAAAACTGCTGGTGAGAGAGGGACAGAGCCTCAGCTGTGAAGTGAGAGGAAACCCTCAACCAGAAGTCTTATGGTTCAGAGATGGACAGGCAGTTGCCCTGCCCACTCACTCAAGCAGAAAAGATGCCGGGAAATACACAGCCGTCACAAAAGGACATCTTGGACTGAAAAACTTTACAGTGGACGTGGAGGTCCTTGCTGGCAGTGGTAGGTTTACATCATCTGCATTATTATAAAATGAATGTTGCATTTCCACAATTAATTTTAAACAAAATAAATCAGTGCGAGAATGATAGATGTAACCCTCGTTTTTATATTGATAACTTCTTATTACAAATGTTTAAAGCAGAGTATTCCTTCCTGAATGAAAGAAATTATGCTTTGTTCTGTTATTATTGATCTTGCATCCTGTATTGGTTGAATTATTTCATTTTCATTTCAATTTATTTTATCTTTCTAGGAACTGCAAACAGCTGTAACAGACACCTGTTGGCTTTCTTGCTCATTTATTTGATCAGCTGGCTGTAAAAACTCCTAAAAGAACCCAACGTGATATTCCCATGCTGTCTGGATGAACTGCTCCTGCTGTCAAAAAAAATGTTCATCGGGGTTGACTCGTTGCTTTGTGTCACTCTTCTTTTTCACATGGATCAGATTCACATCAATGTCTTTGAGAGTGTCTGTCCAGGTACATTTTCTTATGTTAATAAACTGATGTGTCAATGTAAATTTCATCTTCCAGACTGAATGCTGCTCAAGAAAGAAATTAATTCTATTTTTGCACAACTTAAAACAATCATAGGTCTTTGACTGCGTTTCCCCTCTTGTTTATTTTAAGATTATTTTAGTAACTGTCTGAATCATTTGCCGAACAATGTTGGTGTTTTTCCTGTGTTCAGCCTTCTTTCACAAAGGTTATGTTCTGTCTGCTGTAAATTAAAATGCTGTCCAACAACTATCGTTTCCTACAGCAGTACTTCTTGCTTTAGACTTTACAATTACAAAATATTGCCACAATGGACCTAATTCTTCAGCTTCCTGTTTTTTTTCCCTTACACTTGTTCTTGAAAAAGGTTCTAAGAAAAGTCTACACTAGATAAAACTATTAAGCTAAAAAAACAAATGGCTACACACACACGCAAACTATTATTTATTTATTAATTCAAAGTAAATCATTTACATTTCAAACACATGTCAGAGTTAAAGAGTCATTATCACAGATGACTGAGTAGATGTCAAGATTTTATCAGAAACAGATAAGGTGGATGTTAATTTGTCTGCTCATTGGTAAAAGTGCCACTTCTCCTTTCATGGGCCAAACCCATTAGTATTACTCCCTTTAGTTTCTTTCCATCTCAGATGATATACTCATACAAACAAGTAAAAATGACAAAAAGTACACATCTTCATCTGAGTCTCACAGCTTTTGGCTGTAGACAAAAAGTTAGATAATTAGTATCCTCACTGCTGTGTTTGTTAGAATTCCATCATGTGTCCAGTCCGTTCCAAGGAAACTGCTCCCATCTAGAAAGAAAATAAATGGATAAAAGACAGCATACAGCAGTGTTATTGGAATAAAAGCTAATTGCAATCTACAAGGTATCTTGCAGCACTTGATATTATATATTAGTACATTAGGAAGACATAAGGTCACCAAATACGGATGTTATATTCTTTACTAAATAATGTGCAACTAAAAAACATTCAAAGTCAAACATTTAAATCTGAGTTGTATTTGGGCAAAAATAGTATTGCTGCTTGCTTTGGTTGTGTCATTGTTAGATTACAAAAACGTGAAACACTGAAATATATTGAATAGTTTGACAAAATATTAATACAAGATCCTCTGACTAGCTTTTGCCTGAACTTTCAACCACATTTCATAATCTTTACCAGAAGATGTAGTTCGTTCAGGTGATGGAAAGTTAGTAAGAACCTTAAGTTAAGGTCATTTTGTCACACTGAGGTTGTGGAGTTTGAAAGACGTGGGTATTTAACAGGAAGATTCAGATTCAAGCTATTTGCTGAGTAAAAGTCAGGGCATCTGCTGCTTTGTTGATTCATTCATTGTTTGAATCTGTCTCTTGTGAGTCACCAAACTTTATGAGTCCAATACTAAATCACAACACTTTTAAACATTCTGCCAATCTCAGTAAATAACTCAAAGTTTTAACACAAATAAATAAAACCTACTGTGTGTAAATCTGCATTGGGTGTTCTCATTGTATAGTAATGTCAGCATCATCAGAGATGATCTGGACTTTGCCAGCATCCATGTGTCTGGCAAAGTCTCCAATCTGCAGCAGCTGGGGCAAAACAACCTGACACACCCCGCTTACTGGGAAACCCACTGGGCTGGACTGAGGAGGAGGAGGAGGAAGGGGAGGACTTTTGGTGTCCGCCCCAAAGCTCCAGTGCTGAACTGAATGTTTGTATTTTGCAACAGCTGCTGCTAGGAGCTCCTGGGAAACTGAGAGAGGTTGCTCCCGAGCCAGCGCTTGATCAGCAAGGAGATCCAGAAGCGTATGAGTAGGAGTAGATGTGGCGTTGACCAGAGGCTCGTCTGACTCTGCAGGTGTAGAGAAACCACCATCTACTGCCACCCCTGCCCCTGCTCCTGCCCTGGCCCCTGCTGCTGCTATTACTGCTGCTGCTGCTGCTTTACCCTCCACCTTTTTCAATACAGCAACTTCCTTCTTCACAGCACCCAGTGACATAGAATTGGAGATATTCGAGGCCGCAATAAAGACACAGTCTTCGTCTTCGTCTGGAGATGGCTGGAGAATGCTGCAGTTATCTGATGCAGGACCATTAATAGATGGCTTCTGCTTCTTCTCAGGCCTGGCCTTCTTTACTCTGAGTGCACATGTCAGACATCAAGTGAGATAGTAATTGGACATCTTTGTTTTACTTTTCATAACATATGTTGGGAGCTTTTCACAGCATCTGGAAATTGTGTATTGTACTCACGGTAATGATGTAAAGAGGCTTAAAATGTTCCTGCTCTCCCTTAAGAGCACCCTGAAACATGTTGAAAAAGTGCATGTCTGCATATAAAAATCTGGTAAAGAAATATGAAAATCGTGATTTTATGACTGAAGGTATGAATGTGCACCAGTGTCACATACCTAGACTGCATCCATCCTTTTGGCCAAAGCGGTTTGACCTCGTTGTCCAACAAGGTCTTAAGGTACTCCTCCATCGCCTCGCTCCCTTTCCTTTCCTTTTTATATTTCTCCATTTTCACTCTTAATACATGACACAAGCAACCCCTGGATGAGAGAAAATAGGATTTGTTACACAGTAAGTAAAAATTGTATAATGTCCCCGTTTTCACAGACAGAAGCCTCATTCATTAAAAAGGTGAGAGTGAGTGACATTTCGAATGATCTTCAGCATATCTGACCTGATCTCCTCGTTCCATTTGAACAACTTCTTAGGACCTCCTTTTTTCCCACCTTTTTCCTCCACATCTTCAACATTCATCTTCTGTTTGCCTTCTTTCTCCTCCTCCATTGCTCTGATTGACATTGCCAGTTCAAGATGGGAGAGAGAAGAATATATTTCCAGTGAACCCAAACCCTACTAAAAAGAGGCACACCTCATGTATACAGCAATCTTCGGATATTAGCTGTTTATGTAACTTATACTTAAAAACACAGACTTCAGGATTACAATGTCACCTTTTGCTGATCCTCTGTTGGTGTATGTTCCCGTTATGTAGAGTGTGTTCATTATCAGAGCAATAGCATTCTGACATTTTAATCAAATTAAATCTTTGGAAAACAAATTGTCCATTGTTTAAGTAATCAAACAGTACAAATTAAAAACCAGTAACTAAACTGATCCCTTTTCCAAACTCAGCCTTGAATATACACTCATGAACTTACTTTGAAGTCTTGACTTGTTCGTATAGTTTGCAGTTTTCATGGAAACAAGCGATCTGCTCGGGCATAGCTTTGCCGATGGCCTCCTTAAGTTTGTGCATGGGGTCTTCCACATCAGGGGGTTCCTGCTTGTCAGTGTCAAATTCAAGAATGAAAATCAAGCCATGCTGAACATAAAACTTAAATATTAAAAACCCACTCACCATGTGTGTGAGTAACAGTTTCTTCACACGTTTGAGGAGTGTATCTCTGCTGCAGGGCAGGAAAGATGACAGGTGTGTGTACACCTTGGAGCGCAACTGGCCACCCTGTTCCCGACACTGCAACTCAATACTGGATAAAGACACCGTGACAGCAGAACTACACACTTAAGAAAGGACTAGTGTGTAGGATTTAGTGGCATCTAGCAGTGTAGGTGCAGATAGCAACTTCCTTGCTTCACTCTGCCCTTCCAATCATAAAGGACAAACTAATGTGGCCATGAAATGTGTAAAAAACTGAAAGCACTATTTAGAGACGTTGTTTGGTTTGTTAGTTCCGGGCTACTGTAGAAACAGTAATCACAGGACTGGTGACTAGTACACATCATCTGCAACTGTGCAGCAACTCAGGATTTCAATTTGTCCATCAACTAAACCTGACCAGTCTGAGCAGTCAAAATGTTTCATGTTTATGACTTGAATCTAGACAAATGTGACCTGAACCTGCTCTGTCGAATTTTTTAAACACTAGTTGCACAACTGTGAGTGAAGTCACTGTTTTGTTTGTATTGCATGCATGGGCACAAGAATGCACGAGCATGTGGCAATAAACAGTCCTGCCAAAAGGTTTCATGCCAGTTCCACTAAACTGACAGCTGGCGGTGGTAATGTGCCATGAAACCTCGCAATATGCCATAAAAAGTAGGACAGAAGAAGTCTGAAAGCTAGCAGACATGGATGTAAGCAATGCAGGATTTAAAATAAATAGTTAAGGGTTTAAAAAAGGCTTTCACTGTGCTCCTGGCTAAAGACAATAGTTGCCACATTGTGTCTTGGTTGTTGGATAACTCACTCTAGCAGGATTGAGTTGATTTCTGGAGTGAAGAACTTGAGTTTTGACTCTCCCTCTGAGAACTTGGCAGCCTGAAAAGATAATGTGATATTTTTTTATTATAAAGAGACAGATATGTGTACATAACCTCAGCTGTGCATCCACCATGTGCTTGCCCATTTACAACTGATGCTTTAGTCTGTCACCATCTTCACTTCAGCAAGTGTTCAAATAACAAATTTAACCTTACCACTATGAGTTTCTGAATACTGTTTTCCAGTCCTGGAGGAAGTCCCTCTGGCAGTGGGATTTGTTCTGAATGAGGCTTCGGCTGCAAGTTAGTCTTTGCATTTGGAAGTTGTGCTAGAGTCTGATCATCTGTTTTGGGTTGGAAAAACTGTGTCTCTGTGGCCAGTTGAGGAACCAATTTTGGTGATGAGGTTCCCTCACTGACATCTAATAAAGAGTCCAAATCAATATCAAAATCCACTGTGTTGGCTGCTTGGATGAGAGCGTGGTCATTGGTTGATCCAATTAAACTGAGGAGAGGGTCAGTCAGTCCTGAGCCGCCGCCCCCGGCTGCGTCCGCAGGGCACAGAGGGATCGTGGTTGCACCCATGATTGCTGGTATCTTCTGGTTTTCTTTCATCACCTTCTGTCGTTCCTTCTCCTTCTCTCTTTGAAACTTTTTCAACATGCTGGTGACGCTGAGTGTGCCACCAGCCTTTTTCTTCTTTTTCTTCTTCATCATCTCGTCATCCGGTGCAATTTCAGACAAAGTGCTACAAGATAAACATATTACACTTGTGAGAAATGTTCCATCATCTAACTGGCTCCAAACAAGAGGTAAAAATTGCTTTGCTCAGCCTCACCTCGACTTAGGATCCTCATTGCTTTTCATCTCTCCACCTTCTTTGCACGGCTTCTTCTTTGGCTTATCCTGTGCACCATTGAGTTTACGTTTCTAAAAATGTTTCAAGTTATGTTTTATCAGATATGTTTTAGAAGTCATTAAAAACTTTAGAGAAACACAACACTGTTGCAAAGTTTGCACAGCTTAGGCTGATGGAAAAACATTGAAATCAGTTCTGAGAACTTCCATTACAATGCTTAGCATGCTTCTTAGAGTCACAACTTACTTTTGAAGGCTCAAGTGTTTTCTCCTCTGTAGTGAGGTCCTCCGTGTCAGAAGCCTGGCGGAACTGCAGCACGCCCGAATTTACATAGAAGCCTCCAAATTTGGTTGTGAGGGAGGCCGGGACAAATTCATCATACTATAGAGGCAAGGCAGGAATAGATTTTATCAAATTAGAAAAATATTCAAATCAGCAACAGAAAAGGTAGAGACAGACTGATGGGCCTCTAAATGTCAAAACTGGGAACAGAAGTTAAGGGAAACATAAACCGAGTGTGTTTCTACAGTAGCCCAGGAGGGACAAACCAAACACTGGCTCTAGACAGGTGCATTCACTCGTTTTACAGCCACTGTAGTTTCTCCTTTGTGCTTGGAAGGGAAGGTCTGAAACGATGCAACTGCAACCCTAAGATGCCACTAAATCCTACACACTAAACCTTTAATCTAACAACTACAGTACAAACCTACGGTGTCTTTGTGCAACACAGCAGGTCTTCAAAGATGCTGATAGAATAGAAATACAAACAGTGTGACTGAACACCGACTCACAGCCTCAGAGTTGTCAATGAAAGAATCCTCTTCATCATAACCGTACCCGATATCAATCAAGTCCTGAATACGGTCCTTCTTTTTCTTTGGTTTGCCACCCTGCAACGAGAGGATGCAAAATATTGTTGTGGCATTTGCATGTGACAATATTTAGATGTTCGATTGTACTCTTTGAAGTAAAACATTTCATAAATACGTACAAAAATCTACTCACATATTTTTCCTCCAACGCCTTTGCGAGAGCAGCTGCCTCGTCGTTCTCCCTCTTGTCTTCCTCTTCAAACCTGCTCAGTGGAACTTCAACTTTCGTGTGGTTGATCTAAAAGAAAAGTCTCAAACTAATCAAACATTTTATACATCAAATGAAAACATGTGTCCAGTAGTCACACATTTAGATGAAGAGGTTCATGAATTTCTCTTTTAATACCCTCCTATCTCAGTTTGGACTCACTGTGGATCCCAGCATGCACAAAAACATATCTATCACTGATTCCGAGTCAAGTCTAGTGTATGTTTTTATGTTGTTTGTGAGTTTTGTAATCAAAAACTATTATTATTATTATTATTATTATTATTATTATTATTGCTATTACTACTATAATAAAAAGGTGTCTGGTTGAAACCTACACAAACTCTTCACAGAAAAGAAAGGCTATTTGGTCATTTGCATTTAAAACTGGTAAAAAAAAAATTAAGATGAAGACTAAAACTTTAATTTGGAAACTTGGATTAGTGTTTATTCTAAAAATGTAAACAGTTAAATAAATGGTCAACTTTAGTCAAAGAAATCTTAAAAATATGGCATGGATACTGTAGTAAATAGTAGGAAAGCCTGATAGTTTAAATTTAATCACAAAAAATAATAATAATAATGATAAATCTTCTTAAAATGTCCAATTCAAAGTTTTCATTATGATAAGTCATGATATTGATGTGTGACATGCAACATAATAAGGTGGAGAAAAACAAGTGTCTTTAAGAACTTTAACAAATGATTCAAAAAAACACAACATATATAAATAAACATAAAAACTGTTTCTATACGAACATAAAGACATGTGGGGTAATAGGATGCTCTCTGGTGCAACACCAGCAGAATATCAAGATTCAAGTTTCCTCTGCAGACTTTCAACATAAAATCCCACCTTGTTGTCAACGAGTTGACTGTAGCTGAACTCGGGAAAGCTTCGTTCATCAGGCTCAAATAATGTGAGCACCAGTCGGACCGAGCCTGGGTCAGCGGGTCGGTCCGGACGGGTCTCCTTCACCTGCTGCGGGACACCTGACGGAGGCCTCTGGGCCGCAGCCGGTTCGTCAGAGGAGGCAGGTACATCGTAGGACAAAGTGGTCAACTGAACTCTCCGAGATTCAGCCATCACAACTCGGGACACTCAGTCAGGTTTGGTTTCATCAAGAAGGGTTTAATTAGCTAAATACGTACAGGTGTGCTCCGTCCCTGCGCATGTGCACTGCATCGACCGGCAGCCAATCCTCTTCCTCCTTATTTCCCCCTTTTTTCTTTATTTCATTAAAATAACACATTTAAAAAGGGTTTTGGCTACTTAAATTAATTATTTACCTCTCTGTCTCTAGCTTGATAATTACTCAAAAGGAAGAATATTTTAAAACTAAAAGAATAATTGAGAAGAAAAGAAAGCTTAACTTTAGCAAATTTATCACAGACTTTGAAACAAAGCAGCTGACCTGTCTAACAGTTACAAAATCACCTAAAATGCACTTTAAAACTTTAAAATTAATAATAAATTGTTAAACTGTTATATTAACTTCCTGGATCTTCACTGGTTGCCTGGCAACTCCTCAGCACCAAGAATAGTCCTCCTAGCTAACTAGTAGCTAACTGAGTCTTAAAATGGTGAATTATCGCGGTTTTTATGGATTAAAATGATGAAATGAATAAGTGTTAAGAGATACAGACGTAGGTTACATGGTAGGCAGGTTTTGTTACAGAACCAGACGGCTTGGGCCTGTTGCCAGTCTTTGTTGTTGTGAGTGTTATCGATCTTCTCATCAAACTAACTCTCTGCCAGAAAGCCAATAACACCATTTCCCAAAATGTTGAACTAATTCTTTGAACAGTATCTTCTCTCAGCAGTGTAATTCTAATTCAAGGTGCAGATATTGAAAAAGATATTCTAGATTATTTTATTATCGCATCTTCAAATCCAAAACTTTAAAGCACCCTCTCAAAAAATATTTGTCACTATCCCAAAACTTGATATTGTATCCGCAGAAATTGGGAGTCGTCGTGGGATGGGAGCACTGGGGACACTTTAACAAAACGTGTATCTTTAAATAAGTTAAATATGTAAACAGACTTCTGAGAATTCACCTTTTCACTTTGTTTTGGGCCCCATGGTAGCTGAGGGCCCCTACGCAGGAGCTTTTGCTTCATGCCTCAAGCGCGGGGTCTACTTTAATCATTTCCTTTTATATTTTAGATGCCAGAGGGTGTCACATGCCACCCCAAATGCCTTTTTTACTGTTAAGAAGGGTAAAGCCCTATCTGTCATAGTCCATCCATAGTGATGTGTCTGCTGCTCAGTGAAGGAAAACAAAGATACAGCTGTAGTGGGTTTCTGATAAAGCCAGAGGCTGCTGTCACCTGTTAGGATAGGCTGAGGAGATGCCAATGATCCTACACCCACCTGGATACATCAGAACACACACTGTTGTCCTTAGGCGTTTTAGAGCTTTGAATGGACAAAGCAACAGCAACAAACTATTAGTTACCCACAAGTCAAAGAGGTCAGGGTCCCCAAAAGCCCGGCTGGTTTAATGTACGACTGTTTGTCTTTGTTTCCAAATGTTAGTCAGGTTCTGCATTAATCTTGTGACCCTCTTGTGGAGGGGCCTGGTAGTGGATAGTTTGTGGATATTTGTGCATGTTACAAGGAAGGTGCCAGAAGTTACACTGTAATTTCTGGTGGTGTGAGCCAGATATATCTCATTTTTATTGATAAAACAAGGCATGGTTATAGACAACATTCATGCACAGCACACTGGACCTTACACACCTTTATGTCATTGAGCTGTTCCCTTCCTCCTCCAGCTGAAGCTCTGTGAAATAAAATGCTCTGGTGGGTTTTGGGGTGAAAAGGTATTTTGCTTCTGGTTCACAATTGGGAATTGTCCACGCGGTGCTGCACTGCTCCTCATCCACCACATGGGGGAGGTGGAGATCCACAAGGATGAGCAGACCATAGCTCAAATGGGAGAGCTGATATATTTTAGGGGCAGTTTACCTTGAATTCTTAATTAACATCTATCACACATACACAGGCAGACATCATTTCAGACTATTTTAAGTCTTAATAAAAGGATTTGACCATCACTGATCAGATTTATTATAGATCTTCTTCAACATGGTGAAACTTGCTGGACATTTTCAGTCATGTTAATGTTATAAAATCCCTCTACAGACCTTAAACCCAACATTTGCTTAATTGAAAGCTTGAAAACTTTAATTTTGATGACATGTTGCTTAAATATTTGGTCAACTAATGTTCATATAATAACAGACACAATTAAAACTTAATACATAATTGGTAAATAAACACCAAACACCACAACAAGTCAAGGCCCACTTTTAATTCCAGCATCTTGCAGAGTGTCCATCATGTTATCTGAGGTGATGGCCAGACATCAGTGTGTTTATTAAAGCGGAGACTGTTTTAAAACTACATTGGAAAATCTAAGTCGTGTGTAAACCCTGGTCTTTTTCATGCAGCCTGCACTCAGCCTGCAGAGAATTGACTTTGACAATTACAATAACGGGATAATTGCAATCTGTCACTATACATTCCGTGTTAGCATATCACAAAATAACCAATCCGAGCCATTCGCTCTACACACACATGTCCCTGATCTGCATAACACACACAGCACCCCGCTTTGTAATTATAAATGAATTTCACGGTGCGAGGCTTTTAATGCAAATAATATGGATCTTTTTTTCTCCTCTCTGACCAACACGACTGTGTGTGTGTCTGTGTGTGTGTGTGTCTGTGTGTGAGGGAGAGAGAGAGAGAGAGGATCAGATTGCGGCCAAGCTTTGTTTGACTAGCCTCCCCTCTCAAACGAGTTAATGGGATGGAAGTTATTTGCCACCCTGAGCTGACGATGCGAGGTCGAACAGAAGCGTTGAATTAAAAAAAAAAAAAAAAAAGGCGTCAATAAATGTGCTGGAGACAAAGAACTAAAATACACCCGAGCAGGACAAAGACAGACAGATGGAGACTGCAGGGGTAGCCTCGGCCTCTGTGTGTGTGTGTGTGTGTGTGTGTGTGTGTGTGTGTGTGTCGTGGTCTGGTTGCTGACAGGGACCCCATCAGTGCAGGATCAGAGTGGGGAAATTGGAGGACAATGTTGGATGAGGGGTGTGGGGGATAATTTAAACCGATTGGGGAGGCGGTGTCCCAGAGGTGCATAATTCACTCATTCATTAACTAGACCAAACAAGAGCCAATATTAATTAACTCGTTCCTCATGCCGAGGCCGCCCCGAGAAGCGCGTGCTTTGTTGTCAATTGGCCACAACAGTTCTTGGAAGTGAAGGCTTTTAAAAAAAACCTCAGAGGGCCACAGGGTGAATGAGTGCATCAAACCTTCAGTCACTGTGTGCAGGAGTGCTTATGGTTTTAAAAATATTAAATAATAATCATTGGTAGAAAGAGTTTTACTCAAGTGCTGCACTTTATTTTTGTACAATTTCGAGCAACTTTAATTGAGTATTCCCAGAAGAAGTAGTAGAAAAAGGAGACGGATATAATAGAGGGGCCAAGCTGGATAATGAGTACTTTTACTTAATTTACTCAAGTACTGTACTTCAAAGCAGTTTTTAAGATACTTTTGCTCAAGGTTGGTTTACCAACTGACAAAGGGGACAAACGGGACAACAGCCCTAGGGCCCCAGACCTCAAGGACCCCCCTAAAAGCCCCAGGTTCATTGTGTGGCAATTGCTTTTTTGGTAATCTCATTGCAGAGTTAATCCAAAAAAACGGGTGTTGGTATGTGTTTCTTTATGGTACCAGAAGTTAAGGCCTGTGTCATCATCAGCTTCATGGCTCACCTGGTGTTTATTAGCTGATGTTTCCCGACACCTTTACCTGATTCGGAGTTTAAAGTAAAACTCAAAACTTAAAACTGCATCTGGAGGAAGGAACTTCACTAATGTGATGATATTGTGCTTACATGGTGGCACATTTTCCTAAATTTAACAGGTTTATCAATGATTTAAAATGTTTCAAAAGGCCACACAGCAAGTGTACATCAATAATAATAATAATAATAATAATAATACAAAGTCATAAAATGAAAAATCCATTCATTGTCACCCAGTCTCAGAGCAATAAAACAGAAAATAAAATAAAAAATAATAAATAAACTATCACACCTTAAGGGACTCCTCCTTCCCCTCTCCTCCACTGGGGGGCGCTCCTCCACTGGTCCTCGCTCTGCTGTCAGGCCCTGCTAACTTTGATTAAGGTTTAAATTGGCTGAATTTAATGAACGTTGCCTAATTAGGCAGGATAACAGCTTTAATTGATAAGTAATTATCTGCCACAAATTGTTATTAATTCTCCAGCTCTGTCTTATAGTGTACCGACTCTCCCGTACTCCCCCCCTCCCTCCCCCCCGTCTCCCCTCCTCCCCTGCAACATTTTGTATTTATGTAAACAAGCAGTAGTAAACAATTAGACATATGTTGGGATGGGATATTCCGGAGGGTACCATCAGGCTGTGCTTGGTGGACTGGCAGTTTATCTGGAATTATTTCATTCACTGACTGATATCTTTGAGCATTAATTGCTTAAACTGTCCTGTCATTTTGGCTGTGTGCCATCGACTGCATGCTGTCATGACTAGTACAAAGAAGGCTGCAAGAAAAATGGCTCCAAAAGTGGTCGTTTGACTAATGGAGAGAACTGAACTTTAATTATAGACTAAAAGAGAAAGTGCTTTGAGTGCTTTAATACCAGATCATTTCGTTAATCTTTCCTCCAGTAATCTTGCAACCACAATATTCAAGTTATAGCTTCAGTGATTATCTTCAGTTTCATTATGTAATTTTAGTCTGTGTCTTCAATTATATCCTATATATTGTGTAGTGACAATGTAATAAATGTTAGGATGTTTAATGCACCTGACTGTATGGGAGTGAACTATGCAGCATGTGTGCATGCATGTACTTGAGTGTTTGTCAGTGGATGTAGAGGAAAATAACATTTTCATGAAAACCAATCAGTTCTTAAAGGAAATGTGAACAACTACATCAATCAATCTCTCAGTTGTCGTCGTCCAGCAGCACAATGTACACACTGTACACGCTGTTTATTTATTATACTTGCTTGGGAAACATTTACAGAGGCAG